CTAGTTAAATAAGGCTTTGGCAGGGAATGGGAGGCCACAAACTGAGCTGTAGATTTGATCTCACAGGCATAAAAGTGAGTTCTAGTCATGACTGGTGACTTCCTTTCTTATGTATGTTCATATGAAATATTAAAACAGTATTTACATTTTAGCTACTCGCAGCTGCAGAGATCACAGCTGCGGAGATCAGTGAAAAGTTGCACCACTGCAGTGAAGTGAGAGATAATCACAGAGGACCTGGGCCTTTTTCTCTGAATTCCAGCAGTTTGTTTCTTATTTCAAACACTTACTAAGATATATAGCCATTATCTCTCATTAGATTTCATCTGTTTCTCTGCTTGCCTGCCATGCGCCTTCCAAGAGGGGAACAAAGCCAAAGACACCTGGAAACGCACTCTCTTCTTCTTCATAACTTAATGATGTTTATATTAATTAAATAAAAATTCCTAATTTCTGTAACAGATACGTACATGTTCATAAATGATTTTTCTCAGTTCTTTTCCTGTAGTTTTATTTACTTCCTTATTCAGCATATATTATCACTACTTAAAGCTGAAATATTTGGTTTGCATTTGTCTCCTTCCACGAGTGAAACCTGAAGAGTGTTTATATTATTTTTAGTGTTATATCATATTTGCAGTGTACCAACCATCCCGTGAGCTACACAGAGACAGGAGAATAGAGGCAAGCAAGGCACATTTGTTTACAATTAATCATTTTCAGCTTTTATCCCCAGGCTCACCTACCCTATTGCAGTTTTCCCTGCTCAGAGAGGGGCTGGCAGCCGAGCTGAGGGGTTTGCCTCCCCAAATGCCATTGCTTCTGCCCCAGCAGCAGCAGAGAAGGGGCCAGTGGCATCAGGAAGCCTGGCTGTGATGCTCAGGTACCATTACCAAATATATCTAAAGAGGTACCATATTAGTGCTTCCAGCACAAGTGCAGTATCTTAAACCAGGACTCAACCTCGCCGCAAACAGTGTATGCATTTGTTTGGCTTAAGGAACTGAAAACTGGGGAGAGAAAATCAAAATACAATCTCTTTTGCAGTAGTCAAGACTTTTCTTCTGTGCTTCTATTTAATGAGACAGCATCTGGAAATCAGAGTTGCTCTCTTTGTCTGTTGTAGCCCCTCAACTATCTTAAACTCATCCTCTGACTGCCTTTTACCTACGAGTGAAACAGTCAATAGCATTTGATCTGTGCATCCCCCAAAACTTGCCAGTGAAGGTGTAGACTTCTATTTCTATATCTATATCTATTTAAGCCTTCTTGCTCTGGGTTGTTTTCTTCTTCACAGACTGACAAGAAATATTCTGTGCCCACCCCCAGTCTGAAAAATGCTGAATTAGATGAATACGAGAAATTTGGTGCTGATGAATTTAAGGAAGAAACAATCTGTTCATGGGGTGCAGGGATGCAAATGCAAAATAACTATGTCTGTAGAGATCTGTTTTTTGAACTGTGTAAGGGCAGATACAATCTAAATGTGGTATTTTTGGCCCTGTTCCTAATGAGACCATAGGTACTGCAGAGTACAGGTACATCAGTAATAGTATTGGAGCTGATCAAGGGAACTTTATGTAATTGTCTGCTGAGAACTTAAAGGACATCACATATATCACTCTTGCACTGAATAAGAACAGTTATCATAGATTGATGGTCAGAGACTAAACAGGAAAATTATTGTGTATGAATACATGATGATCCGAGATCTGTTTCAAAGAGGGAAACATTTGAGTTTATGAGGTTGTACATTGAAACTGTTAGGGGACCTGTTAACAAATAATGCAGGTTATTCCTACTAGGCACCTTGACTTTCATAAAAAATGGTTGTCCTGAGGACAGTAGAATTAAATTTCTTGTTGTTTGCTAATAGGAAAATATTGATAACAGAACACTTCCTTAAAATCTGCACGGCAAAATTGTCATTTGTTGGGCTTACATTTAACATCCTGATAGTGACATTTGCCAGAAAAATTAATAGTCATCTGCTGCTGTCTTAATAATAACATAGAGATGCGTTCTCAGGTGATGTGTCAATACATGGACAGCACACATGCTCATTTATCAAAGCTATGACTGAAGGAAAGCCCCAAAGGATATTAAATCATCTAAATTGAAGCTTTGTTTTCCTAAGTGCTGTGCCTGTGCTTTCATGAAAGGCAGTAGGTTTAACTCATTCTGTCAGTTTCTTATTTTTTAACACTGCCTTCAAAATATTGCCTTTTATTTTACCTTATTTTGCTTTGTGTTATTTCTGTATTTCCAGTGGGACTGTTCTTAAAGAACAGATCGTATAATCAGACTGTTAGAGGTGTTACACTGAAAATCTTGTTTCCTGGCAAAGAGGAAACGCACCTTATAGATACTGTCAGGAACTTCCCGTTAGCATAGCTGAAATCTTTCTTATCCAAGCTTCACCCAAGAATTACTACTAGGTAAGATCTAATTATTGCATAAAAAGGACATTTGTGTGCAGAAGAATTTTCAGTAACAATGGCAACAGCAATATAGTTAAAATTGTTAGGAAGGTGTTTCTTGGTGTCTGTGCTTGTACTGAGGCCATGTTCATCCCTGCCCTGCTCCCCGGGGTCGTGAGGAGAGGAGTTTCATGCTGGTGGGGGAGAGCGTTGCCACAAGCCATCCCCACCTGCAGGAACATGCTGGTGATGGTTTCTGTGAACTCAGAAGGTACAGAGCCCTGGGGGTCTCGCTAGCATTGTCAATACCATATCAAAACTACGGGATAAAAAGGTCATTGTGCAGTTCAGACAAACTTCACACTGTGAACTTCTACATATTCACTGTATGGTGAATATGTAGAAAGCGTGGAACAAGGTACAAGTGAAAGGTAGCTGCAGTTTGGAGTGTCAGATATGTATTTTCTGGAGAGTTCTTCTCTCTTTTGTGTAGTGCAAACAGCAGCACCTTGCACTAGGACTGATTTTTTTCTGTTTTGGGTTCTTCTTGATGAAAAATGTTCCAGTCTCAGTAGCTGCCCATTGAGACAAATAATAAGATAAACTGCAGACCTAACGGAGCTGATGTTCTACTTGCTCATTATCAATATGCATGTAGATAAGGGGCAAAAAAAGGAAAAATTTTCACAAAAATATGATGTAAAGACAATTTAATGCAAATTCTGTTCAGAGAAATTTTATCAGTAAGCCAGCAAAAGAGTTAAAACAGTATGAGCGCTTGCAAAGGTTAGAGCAGGAGGTCAAATTTATGATCACGTTTACTTATTTCTCATATACGTATGCAGAGTGCAGAGATCTCTATTTGTTTTTCTTCAAGGATATGTAACATTTTTTTCTGTCAGGGGAAGCGTTCATATGAGGTGAAACAAGACATAAGTTTAGAGGTGTATCCTGGGTAAGTGAAATTGTAAATGGAGAACACATACCCATAAAATATTAATCTTGGAGCAGTTTTCAATGTGTACCAAGTATAAGGGGATGGTTGCAGGTGCAATGTAAGAGACTGTGCAGCTGGGCAGTCATTACCATATCTCACATGTGCTGCATTAGTGATAAAGAAAGAAGTGCGCACCCTTATTTATCTCTCTGTGCATCAGCACTTTCTGTAACTCCAGTGTCCCTGTGAACACGGAGAACCGGGTACAGAGGATTTCTCATTGCTTATACTTCTTTTAATCCTTTTAATTCCATGTCACAATCTGTTAGCACAAATCAGCTGCTGTTAGTATTATGGCCATGTAATGCCCCTGGCTACTAAAACTTGGTCTTCCATTTCCCTTCCTCTGTAGAAAACATTGGAGTTGTGTAGCAGTGCTTGTAGGTTAAGTCATGTATACTGGTTTATCTTTCAGAGATGATTCTTAGTTTCAAATATATTTTTTCTCATTGCCCATGCCTGGTAGGAATGTTTCCAGCCTCAGAAAACTGAAGAAAATGGGAATTGGTTCTCTTGGAGAGAGGACTACACTGGGGTGGTTTTCATGCAGAGGAAGCACAAGCCGTTTACAGGGCTCTAGCATTTCAGAGTCCTTTATCTTGCTCTAGTACTTCAGATGCTGGCTGCACATGGCATTAGCTTGTGGCTTGGAAATCCAGGTGTGTGCATGGGAGCAGGGCCAGTATATTTTTCACAGCAGCTCTCCAACACTCTGCAGCTCACAGAGTAGCCACTCAGGCAGTAATTATAATGTTCCCAGCAGTATTGCTAGGCTTTCAGTTTGGGCTGTAATGAACCGTGCTATAATACCCGCTTTGAAGTGACTGATGTGGCACGCAGGTAACCAAATGAAAAGTTCCATTAAATTCCACCCCTTCTCAGCTGGTTTGCTATGTGCTACCAAGATACACACAATAATAGTTAAAAGGGGCTCCACGTTTACTTTCTCACCTGAAATATAGCAGTGGAGCAAACAGTACCTGGACTGACTCAGGCAGGTTACGTTGAAGACCTTCGCTTGCAAGAAGCATTCACGTAGCTGTATTAAGGCCTAATGCTGAAAATGCCCAACAGGCAGAATACAAACATTTGGAAGGTCAAGTCATCTTTGCCAATTTCTTATATGTATTTTTTTTCACCCAAATTATTCACTGAAGCTGTAATTAATATTGCAAAATTGCTGTAATAGGTGCATGGTAAACCTGTTCTCAGTTTTTCATAGTGCATCATGTAGGTATTTGCATATTTAGGTAATTTTTTATTATCAGCTGGTACAGTAGGTTCATTATTCCTATTCAGAAGTGAATTTTTAAACAGATAATTATATGCAGTTGAAGTCAAAATTATATTGCATTATCTAATATAAACAAGATATACTATTTCAAGTGATTCAGTCAAAGTTAAAAAAAATCTAATAATGGGAGACTTAAAAAGAAAAGCATGACAGTATCCTTTCTCTTTATTAAGTTAAATCATTTTCAAGGGCAAAAATCCCTTCTCTTTATTAAGTTAAATCATTTTCAAGGGCAAAAATCTATTGTGGAAGTTTATATTTAAGCTCTTCTATTTTTTTTCTTTAACAGGACTGGGAGTTTCCACACTTTATGGGTGATGTTGAAGTGAATCTCCCGGGTTTGCCATCTGCACATATGCAACTTAAAGTACCTTACTTCCAAAAGATCTTCAAAGAAGAATATCACATACATATAACAGGTATGTAATCTTACAACTGTGGTGCAGTCACATAGTTAACTATTTCCATTTAGTAAATGTATATTAATATGTCCTTAGACACATCCTTTTCTGTCCTCACTCACACATTTGCTATCTATCTTTCTGTCCAGCTATTTATGGACACAAATACAAATATACATACATGTACATGCATGTGTGCAAACACCTCAGGGAAAGAGGAATCTGTATCATGTAAACCAAAGAGACCTGCTGTTCTTCATGGATTTCAGCATCTTCTTGTGACACTAAGTAATACCTACTGTAAGCTTCAGGGATCTTTTATCTAAAACTACCCTCCAGGGGAATTAGCAGCTTATTTCATTTTAAAATCTCTTATGCTTTTAAATGCTTTTGCTATGATTTATGCTAATATCTTTTCATAACTTCAGTGGCAAAGGCCACTCATAGCCACACTTCTATCGGTCACCTTACCAGAAGCAGACAGCTAAATAACCTCCAATAGGGTAGGAGTATAGATATTCAAATGGATGGCAAATATAGATATAAAGGACCCAATCCTTGCATGCTGAGATAAGCTATTTTAGTAACAATGATGAATGAAAAAGAGAAGAAGGTTAAATAGGGATAAATGTTCTGGTTTTAGCTTCAAGCAGTGCAGGAGGATATCTTACTGAGAGAGAGAAGGACATTGTATACTATACAGAGAAAAAAAACAGATATGAATTGACAGTGGTCTTTAACTGCTAATAAGAAACAATCATAAGACATGAAACTGCAAGGGAAAAAGATACATGAGAACATCCAAAGAGGCAACTCTGCAACTTCTGCAGAGCATGGACAAAAGGAGAATTCAAAGATGAAATTATAAAGCCAGGGACTAGTAAGGGAGCCATAAACTCATGAGGCTGCAAATGCTAAGAGAAGAAAATGTGTCAAGGAGGAAACAACGATGAACCCCAGATAGTTAAGTTAGACTGAGACTGAAAACTTAGAGAAGGTGTTCTTAGCAGAGGAGGCAGAAATCTGAGTGGTCAAATTGAAAACCATATAAGAAAACAGGCACAAACGTTACCTGCTGGCTGTTGGATGAGAGCAGGCAAATGGGTCACTTGAAAACAGAAAGTTTTTGTGAAGCTGGAACTCTGTTGGAATGCAGAGAGAGCAGACAACTAGGAATAAGAAAAAAGAACTTGAGCCTATGTGTGAGATTGTTTGAGCCATTGGTGGTTTATGGAAGAGGATGTAGTGAAAAAGGTAATGATCTCATGGTCAGTGACTAGAAAATGTGAAGCGAGTGATGGGGTGTGCTGGTGACGAAAGTGCGGGTCTCTGAAGGTGATCAAATCTTGAGCAAAAAGGGAAGGAGAAGAAGAATATATAAGCATAAAATATTTGACATGAAATAGAGTCACAGTAGTCAGAGATGACAAAAAGATTTTTTCTGCTTCTCAATATTAAAGAATGACTTTGGAGGGGCTCAATCCTACAAACGTCCCAAATGACCTCCAGTGAATGGATGAACCGAGTAGTATGAGCAATGGCTGAGGTATGCTGCAGTTGGCTGTGTCATCAAATATCAGAAGTACAGATAGAACTAAAGTAGGTGAAAAACAATGGCTAGTATAAGATATACTAAAGGGCAAAGACAAAACATTTTGCATTGTAGAAAAATTGGGGATGATAATGATACTCAGAGAAGATCAAAGAATAAGCAACAGCAGAAAACATAAATTAGCGACTGGAATTAAAATTACTAGCAGTGTTGCTGTTTGAAAATAGAGCAACAAAAAAAAAGCAATATTTATGCATTGTAGAGTCCTCTGCAGAGAGTAGTGTAGGCCTTTCTGATTTTTTGGTGAGAAGGCATTCTTTAATGAGGATGAGCTAATGAATAGGAGCTGAAGAATATTTTTCCCTGCTCAGCATTAACAAGATTCATTTATTAGATTCACTAGACAAATCAATCCATTTGATTGCATGTCACGTACTCCGTCTACTGAGTGCCTGTTTTATCTCAGTGCTACACCATCCTTTAGGAGATCTAATAAACAGCCATAACACATGGCACAAGAACCTCCCTTTGGGTAAGTTTTGCTTGAACCATCTGTTTTTGCCATCAGTTCTTGTCTTAGGTTAGGATATCATCCTGGATCATTTCAAGCTCTATGTTGTGTGGATTGGTAGATACTTTTAATTTTCTATTCAAGTCAAGGAGCTTTTTTAAAAAAGAACTGGTTCAATATATATAACAAGGTGAATATAATCCAATCTATAATGAGAGGAGAGAGTAGTGCACATGCTCCAGATGACATGAGGACAGGACATTGATAATGGCAGGAAGGTAAAAACCACTGTTCTATTTAAGTCTTGTTTAATACTTGGGATCAAGAATGTTAAATTTAATCATATTGCTTCTCACTAATAACAAGGAGGAAGTAAAGACTAAGATCTCAATATCATTTATGTCAGTATATACGTTAGGGATGAAATCAAAGCACAAAATTATGACCCACATCCTGATTTCCAATACTGACCCCCTCCTCTACTCCAAAGAACAAGGACAAAGAAAACATGTCTGAGACACCCATTTGCTATCTTTTTCCTGAAAACTTTTATGTTTTGTGAGCTTTGTTCTTTTTCAATCTGTTTTGGTCACTATTGTTTGATACAAATGAGAGCAGCCCTAGGACTGCCCTGAGCAGGGCTCTGTTTGGGGCTGGATTGCTCTAATAAGCAACAGTACCATGAAGAGGCAGCTTCATTCAGAGAGGGGCAGTGCTTTAAACATCACTTCTGTTGCTGTGTGCTCACAGGCTTTGTGTAAGTTTAGTACAGATGAAGGATTTCACAGTTACATGATCTGGGTTGCCAGCTCTCACAAGTCTTAAGACAGTCGCTTTTTTTTTTTTCTTCTAGTGTCAGATTCTGGATTCAGCGATTATGTGAGAATTCAGACTTTCATATTTTTAAAAATATACCTCATGATTGCAGAATTACTTCTTAAATAGCTTTTACTTCTTAATTACTTCTTAATAGCTGTCTAAAATAAACCAGGTAAACGGTACTAACTATATTGTTTTTAGCTCATATGCTTTCTTAGGCCTGACTTTTGATTTCTGAATCTTGTAAATAGGTAGCAATGTTGAAGCAACATCTTCAGCTTGTAGCTGATAGGCTTCAGTGTATTTTTAAATTTACCATCACAGGCGTATCTTTTTTTTTTTTTTTTTTACTGGAAACTGAATGCCTCATCTTGCTTAAATTTCAGAATATTTCAGAATATTTCAGAATATTCAGAATATTTCAGAATATTCAGAATTTCAGAATATTTCAGAATATTTCAGAATATTTAAGGTTGGAAGGGACCTCTACAGATCATCTAGTCCAACCTTCCTGCTCAAGCAGGCACACCTAGATGCAATTTCTTTGCATCTAGGAACTTCTAGCAAGCATCTAGTCAGTATTAAATAATTTTATCCTGTTTTCATACTTGCTTTTATCTTTGAACATCAAAAATGACTTGAATTCCTGCATCTGCTTAGCTCATCTGGATTTCCCTTGACAGATGGTTCACTACAGTGTGTGTGTGTTTTCATTCTTAGGCTGCTGTTTATGAAAATACACAGTCTAGCCTAGTTTCTGTAATACCCAGGGAAATTTGTGATGCTTAAAAGTAAATTTTGTTACTTCAGATTCTTTCATTGTTGAAAGGCACTCAAAGGCCTTGTTCGTATCCTTTAATAGCAGCACTGGAGATCCAAGAGCATCTGCTATCAAGTATGTGGATAAGTTTCAGATAGGAATTGTTAAGGTTTAGGAATCAAAACAGATGGGAGTGGTTTTTTTTTTTTTTTTTTTGGACCATTTATAAATGCATTTCTGAGTCCTTATCTAGCCAGTGTGCCCTTCCACCTAAAGGTGGAATTGTTCCCTTCATGGCCGTCAAGTGACTAGCAAAGCTGACTTGTGGAGTTGAACCAAGGCTGTGTCTCGGTCCAGGCCAAGCGCTGCCTACGCAAACATCTGAGGGAGCCTGTGGGCAAAAACAGAAAGGTTAGAGGTAAAAACAAAGCTGTCCATGCACACAGACTGACAAAATCTCAGGTTTGCTGCTTATTTCGTCTGAGTGGTCTATGTATGTATCTAGCTAATAACACTAACACAGCAGAAATGAATGTTTGAAAGATGCCTGAATGTTTTACAAAGGTGTCTGAATGATTTTATACACAAATCACAATTGAGATAAGTGTTGAAAGTCAACATTTTCAACTCTTCTCTCTGGCTGTGGTTTCTCATCATGAGGCCACTTCAGTCTGGCTTTAATAATTGGGATATTTACATTTCCTCTTGACCTCAGAAGAAATGCTGAGGACTGGCTCTACATGAGGGACATGTTTGGAGGACATGACTGCTCTGTTACTCAGTGGACATAAAACAAACAAAAAATGCTGCAGAATCAGAAGCTGTTTTGAAATATTTGGACCTGAGGCTCTTCCTCAGGTACCCAGCAATTCAGTTGCAGTTCTGACTGATTGATTAACCTCCTTGTAGACCTTAATGACCTCTTTAAAAATGAGCACAGTTCAAACATCTTATTCAGTCTGGCAGGTATAGGTACCTTTCTAAAAAAAAAAAAAAAAAACCAATTTGAATCTGTCCCCTGGATTTGCATGCAGTGATGCAGTGCATAGTTGCCTTTAGTGGGCCAGGTAGGGAGAGAGCCTTCTTGCCTATCTAAGCAACAATTCCCTGTAGACTAATATTAAGAATATATTCCTATAAGATGCCTACAAACCACCGTAGTTGGGGGTAGTCCTAGTGCCAGGATTTCCTGTTCTGTTATTGCCCTAGCCACTAGGATACAACACTGTTCAACAGCTGTGTTTTCTTGGAAAATAGGGATGCAATTTTCATCCTCAAATAGTGGGTTTAGGTTTCAAAGCTTAGGAAGAGGTGTCTAGGTCTGAGTGTCACGACCTATTTTAGCACCTGATTTAGCATGTCACTTCCATTGCAAAGTCTGAGAATATATATATATATAAGAATATATATATACATATATAAGAATATATATATATATATTTTCTTCAGTTTCCTGAAATTTGTATTAACTGTGTTTGACTGGCCTTCCAGTCTTCAGAGCTGATTTTACTGCTCTATTCTTCTCAAGTTCAGTCTGTGAGAAAAAATAAGGCTAAATAGTGCTAGGTATATGGCAGTGTTCTTGGCCATGTAGACATCCCTGCAGCTGAACTAATCCTAGATCAATAACTGCACTGATCCTACAGAAAAGTATTGATTAGAGAACACATGAAATGAAGACCTCAGTGTGTGACTCAGTTTTTCCTTTCCACTTTTCTTCTGTAATGAAATTTAAAGTGTTGAAAAACAATTTTATTTTTTAGGAAATGAATATCTGTGACTAATTTATATTTATATTGCATATATATATTCTGTCTCTCTGCAGAACTAGAGACTTAAGCTGGTCTGTGTGCAAAGTGATAAGTCAGGAGTGGCTGTAGCCTTTCAAAATTTAGGACTTCTGATTTGCCAAATCCATTTCTTATGCTGATCAACCTGTATTCCTTTACTGTATTCATGTATGGCATGAAAGAACTTAAAGTTTGCTGTAAATCACACTAACATTTTGTTTAATTTAAGTTGTGATAGAAAATAATTGTATATATCATTTTATATTTTATATATGAGAAATTATATATGTAAGGATAAAAATAGATCCATACCATAAAATTCATAAATTTTCCTGGGGAATTATCATCAAATACATGCTTGCCAGTGGAGATTTCCAGGCTTCTTGGTTCAGTGGTATTTCCAGAATCTTCCATGTTTTTGGAATAGCAGCAAGTGAGGAATATGTATCATTTCTACACAGCTGTCTGGGTTTCTTCATAACCTGGTCTTCCTCAGCTGTTGCACACTCCAGTAGAGCTGCACAAAGTCTCAGAACAGGGATAGAGAGCAGCAGTCACTGTGTCCCAGAAGCAACCAGGACAGCATGAGCTCCCAGTAACTACTTTTGTGCCTAAGGATTTTAACACAGTCTTGGCTACAGGGAATACTGAGTGGGAGTAGGAAGATGTCACTGTGTTCATAGATGGTTAGAGGGGGACTATTTCTGAAGTACAGTGTTTCTTCTGGTGACAACACTTTTCAAAAGCAAAGGAAAAATCAGAGCTCAGAGAGGAGTGTGACAGTGATGCAGTTTGTGTAAAAATTGTCCAGAAATGAGAAATTCAAGGAGTTTTGAGCAGGTCCACCACTGACATAGACATGTCTCAAGGCAGCTGACACATAGACATGCAGGGTAAGCTTCATCTTAATTAACCTGGGTGTCTTCATCTAAGCTATTTATCCAAGTACCTTTATAATCCCACTGACCCTAGTGATACAATTAGTGGAGTTTAAGGCTGTTGTTCTGCCTGTCTGTTTTCATCTAGGAGGTGACTGAGGCGGTTTCAAGTTCATGCTTTGAATAAAACAGGCAGAACATCCCTTTTGTAACAAGCAGTACTTTTAATTCTTGATATTAGAGGGGTCTTAGAATCCATTTTAGATTAGATTAACAATTATGAAATCGCAATGCAGGGCAGGTAAGACATGAAGCCTAACATCAGGAATCTAACTATCTATATTTTCCATGTTTTTTGCTAGCTTCCTGGTCAGCTTCAGCAGCAGCAGCAGGCTGTCCTCTGAAGTCTCCTTTGTTGTGTTGTTTCGAACGTACTATTTAAGACAACATGGTCACACAGCTGATAGCTAATTGCTGTGAAATCCACTAAGTGCCATCATATGTAAGATCATATGTAAGATACGCCATGTAGTTCAGTTTTGAATCAAAGTTCTCATTCTAAGTCCTCTAAGTCATACCTAAAGCCTGCATTCAAGATAACAGTCCCCTTCAGCCTTTATAAAGGGCATCTTAATATTGTGCTTAGAGTTTTGCTCTTTTCAATTGCCTGTCTTCTCCCTACGCATATTCACTCGTGCTCTGTCAGTCTGAAAGGAAAGAGCAATATTGGTCCTATATGATTTTTCTAACTTCCCATTATCTCTCCTAACTAGCAGTTCTCTCTGAAGTGTCATCTGTCTTGGCTCTGCGAGAATCACGAAGTCCCAAATATATGTTTCTGAATGAGCCAATAAAAAAAACAAAATGGAAGACAGTTTCTCCAGGCAGGTTGATAATACATTTTCCTGGGAAAGAAATGTGTCTTAGGAAATTAACTTTGGGGCATTACCACAAGGGGTGTTACATTCTTATAGAAATACAGAGGAATATTTGATAACGAATATTTGTTCCATAAAATGTCCAAGGGTACTTGGACAACCATAAAACAGGAAGGAAGTTATGAACACAGTAAATTATTTTTCTCATTCAAAGTGGTTGTGGGTAGGTAATTGTTCTAATACTTGTGTTTCTTTCTCATCTGTTTTTAGACTCGTTTCCTAAGGAAATGAGGATTGTATGATTATATTCTGTAAATGGGTTAGTCTCAGTGTTTTACCCATCTCTCAGCTAATCATCTTCAGCCAGGTTTTGAATCCAGTGACGATCTCAAAAATATCTCAAAATATTTCAATCTCAATCTCAAAAATATTTCTCAGAGAGTAGGAATATGAAAGATATTTTCCCATAGTTTCCCAAGACACAGTGGTTAGGAATAAAGAATCATCTAAGCTTGTGCCTAGCTGAGGAAAAGCATGTAGAAATCAGTGTATCTTGTTTGACAGTAGCCAACTGATCAGTGAATGTGCGTGTCCCAACCAGCTCATCAGCACACACAATGCAAAATATTTCCTGACTCTGTTTTTTGAAAGGTCATGCTTTGATGGAGAAGCTAAGGTTATTGTGATGGAGAGAAACACAAAAAATGTATAGCAGAAATCCATAGGAATTGACATTAAACTAGCTAGTTTTTATTATATTTCATATTGTGTCATCATCTGCAGTGTCTTGGTGTTGATTTAAGGAAGTTAAACATTCTAAAATGTGATTATATTTATCTAAAACTGTATTTTCCTAAACTCACTCCTTCAACAGGTCCAATATAATGAAATATAACATTAATGAAAGCACAGTATAAAGCTAGAAGAGTTATTAAGGAATTATGTAAACAGTGTAGTTTGATTTCTGAGTGGTGACAATAACAGTAGAATTATCATTCTTACCCATTTTCCAACTAAGTATAACCTAGATTGAAGAGGATCATTAAAGAACAATTGCTGAAATTACAAGGACTTACCCTAGAGGATTCTGGTCCACGGTACAACTTCAATACACAGGGTTTCAGGAACTCAAATCTGTTTATTCTTTGTAAAGCTGTGACAGAAGTCATTCTGTGGCTTCTCTGATATGATTAGAGCATGCTAATCTGCTGCTCTGGTATCACAATTAACGAATTTGTTTCAATTAAACACAATTAATTAAATATTAAAGCATAGGAAAATGTTATTCATCAGCAGCAAGGACATTCCTCATTGAATATCCTTCCACCCAGTGTTGTGGTAAGTTGTAGTCACAAATCCTCAATCCTAATACATCTTTAATGAAATGTATATTTGGTGGGTTTGGGGTGGTTGCCACCATCCCTGCTCAGATAAGCTCTTAACATGTTCAGCTAATATGTCAGAAATGCTTAAAACTATGATTTTTGCTTTTGTATTCTTTGTTTTTCAGAATCATAGAGTAACTCATTTTAAAGGGGACAGATGAAGGTCCAATGCCCTGCTGAAAGCTGGGCCAGCTTTGCTATTGCACTGAGTTATCTTTTATATATTTTGCATACCTGGAGGATGCAAAAGAGTAAATTTACATCTCTCAAGTAATCAGAAGAGAAACATTTTCTCCTCCAGGACTGTAGACTCTGAATCGTTATGTGGAGTTTTCCACCATAATGACTATAGGTAAAACTAAGTTGAACAGCCTCCCAAACCTAAAATCAGTCACTGCTGATCTTTTTATTCTGAGAAAGTAATAACCCTAATTCACAGTTTATCCAGTAGTTTCCACCTTCGTATGCTTGGGCCCAATGGGTAGTATATTAAAGAATTTATCTACATGTAAAATTTGCATAATTACTGATCCCCTCAAAAAGTCTTACCTCAGACATTCCTGGCATATGAACAGTTCTATAAGACATGGCCTTTTCAAGAATTTCTACCTGAGTATTTTTAAAGTCTTGAAATTAATATCCTTTAAGTTTATTGTTTGCATCAATTAATGGTCTAACTAACAGGTCACCTACACGCTGCAGTGCAAATTCAGTTGACATAGTGCTGTGCATTGCAAAATGATTTTATTATGCACTCAGATATAATTGTGAAACAGTAAGGGATATTCAGCATAAATTTAGCTATGATGAAATTTTTATTAGATCTTTTTTACAGGTTAATGAAGAAAAGATTTTTTTTTTCTCTGAGTAGTGTTTATATATTATTATATCTGTTGTGCTTCTGAAATGGATGTGTCAGATGACAGAACCTTCTTTTTCCAATACAGGCAAATGGTTTAACTACGGAATTATCTTTCTGGTTTTAATCTTGGATCTAAATATGTGGAAGAACCAAATATTTTACAAACCTCATGAATATGGTCAATATATTGGCCCTGGACAGAAGATCTACACAGTGAAGGACTCAGAAAGCTTGAAAGATCTTAACAGGACTAAGTTATCTTGGGAATGGAGATCCAATAACACTAACCCGTTGACCAACAGGACCTATGCTGAAGGAGACATGTTCTTGCACAGCAGATACATAGGCTCTAGCCTTGATGTCAAATGCCTGGCTTTTATTCCAAGTTTGCTGGCTTTTGTGTTGTTTGGTTTCTTCATCTGGTTCTTCGGGCGATTTCAGAAAACTGATCAAGGCATGGAGAATTTAGACAAATCATACACAAGAATGAAAAGAAAGTCACCATCGGATATGGGGATGACACGAGAAAATACACAAGTGTTAGTAGAAGAACCATCGAATTTTCCAGAACCACATCTAGTATCCATAAAATCAGACTTAAGTGAAATTGTTTTTAATTCCTCTCTTCTAACTTCTGAAAACTTGAATGCACAACTGAATGAGCAAGATAGCCCTCTACAGCCAGTACCAGAACCCTCTGTCCCTAAGAGTGATCCTGTGACCTAGAGCCCAGGAAAATCAGTTTAAGTAAGCAGTTATTATAAGGATTCAATTTTACCTTTTTTAAGTTAAGATTTCCATAGTGGTTAGAATAAGAAACTCAACCTATACCACAAAGGTGCTCAGCATGCTTTTTCTAGGGATTTTGTTTTCTATTTGTATTATAGTACATGTGCCTACTGTATATCTAACATTCCTTTATAGATTGCTTCCCTAAATTGCACAAGCTATTTATTAATACATTACCTTAACTGTACAGTAGTGTATTAGATGATTACATGCAGGTATAAAATTCTACCGTGGTGGTGCCTTGAGACATTAAACTGTTTTTTAACTGAACACCAGATGTATAGCACAGTTATTCTAACCTATTTTGCGAAGTCTTTTTTCTATAGGGTTATTTCAAGTATCATTTGATATCTTAACAGAGGGGTTAAATGTAATTATTTCTAAAGAAAGGTTTCTGTTTGGGCATCCCATCTTGACCTTCCTGTTCGCTCATGGCTATGGAGTCAGTGACTTTGGTGACCGCACTGTAAAGAAGCGTGTTGATTACCTTCTAATTTTTGCTGGCTAGCTGCCAGACACAAACACAGATGCATTATGTGGTAAATAGTAGAGTGATAATACATCATGGGTCACTACTTTTGAAAATATGACTTTCTCCATCAGTAACTGCAATTAGGTGATAATGCCTAATTATATTTTTCATAATTAAAGATAAACTGCTCCTTGATTAAAAATTCTGCCCTTCACCTTTTGGAAATAGAGGTGAAAATACAAAGCAGAAACAAATTTCTCCATCATCACACCAAAACTATGCATCATCAAAAGGCCAATGAAGTGATTACAGTAATAGACAGAGAGCCTGTTAAATCCAGTATTTGAGCAGCTAAGTGTAGGTGTGGTCTGGGAATATGTGCTAGTATTAAATGCACCACACAGGTAGACAGTCTAATTTCTCCAAAGACTGAAGAAATGTTCAGGGGTTTTCATTAGAGTAGATTAATAATGAATTGTATTGTATCCCTTTTTCCCTCCTTCATGCATTAACCATGAATGAATGTAACCTGGAAGCTGGAATGTGGTACAGGATTTTTTTCTGCTTCTTTGAAGGGGATATCGAAATATGAATTCCTCTGCTGTATGATCAAACTATATACAGTAAAGAAATCGCATATCTAAAATATCACAAAGACTCTGATTATCCTCTAATTTAGTTCTATAAATTGTTGTTACAAGTTGCTAAATAATAAGTCAATTTTAAGTCTGAATTATTTCCCTGTCACTTCCTGGCATTGCTCTGTTTTGTCTTTGTGACTTTTTTTATCTCAGTTGTTTTGATCTATCTGCTTTTAAGTTTTCAGAGTGCTGAATTTGGCATGCATAAGAGAACTATGCATTTATTAACTGTCACTTGAGAGCCAATTTTAATAAACATCATTCAGCAATTATTTATTATAAGGCAGGAACATACCCTGTTAGTTTGGGATTTTTTAAAACACTTTAGCCCTGCATTGTCCTATTTAAAATTATAAATATTTCTGACACTAAAAATGATTGATAGCATCATATTCAAAATCAAACATTTTGTTTATGGAATGTTTAATATTTCATCAGAAAAAAAAATGCTCCCTTTTTAATCAGGCTAAATGCATATCCATTAAAAATATACAGCTAAAAATAAAGCTGTGACTTGTTTTGCCAATTGCATCCTATAAATTTGTTCTATTGGCTTAGAATATTCTCAAAGTTAGACTATTAATTAATTTTGGTAAAACACTGTGAACTCCTACCTGCACTGTATAGGAAGTGGCTGTACTGGTGCTTGACTTTCAAACAGAATATGATTTAGAAAAGCACATTTGGTAAGTAGTTACAGATATATAGCTATTTAATTTTGCAGGTATATGCTTCTCTATATGCTTTAGATACTCTAAATCCAAATATTGAAAATCTCACATCAACACCCTTTTTTTTTTTAGTACATGGGAGTGGTTAAATCTACTAATATGTAGGCAGAAAATTTGAGCCTTACTGCCTGCATGATTACGTGACTGAGAAAACTATTATTAAGCAACTGATCTGCAGCTAAAATAATTGTGACCTGACATTGAGTTCATTACAAGGTCATCCCAAATCTGCATAAGAGAGGGGTATAAAAAGGAATCCTAGATTCCATGTGAGTATTTAACTGAATAGCCAGAGAGACTGCTTATATCAGAATTCAAAAGAAGCCAAAAGACACTGTAGCCACTCGCCATGGACAGTTTATCTCTAATCAAATGAAAGACTCCTTTGTTGTGTAGGTAACTCAAATGTAAACACAAAAAGAGATCGGAGAAGAAGGAGCATTTCCACTTATGTGAGTTTAAGAGAAAAGACTAGTCTCACCCTCTTGTGAAATATGATGTAATGACTGAAAAATACATAGCAAAAAGTGATTCAGTGCTTTAGATGTTTATGTCTACAGTAGTAAAGCATTGCATTGCAACAGAGATTAATTTCTTGTTGGTGCTGAGAACCCAGTGACCATGCTTTATCTCTTTCATGGTTTTGCTTCACACTAGCCCTAGTCTTGTCCTATAAACTGATTGCTCATTCTTATATAAGTGTATGAATCAGTTGAATCTTGTTTGGGTGGGAAGGACATACAGCTTGAAGTAGAGTGCAGTAAGTGGGCACCATCATGTCTGTGCTCCTGAGCTGATCTAAGAGAGGTTACTAAGGTGGATTCATCCTCAGTCTTCTGAAGGAATTTGGCTTTCTCCAAGTTAGGGGCCCAAGATATTGGTTATCTGGTTGGTTGAGCTCTTTCAGAAATCTTAACTATCACACAAATTTTGTCATCTCTTTCTAATTCTTTTTTTCTGTGGAAGTTGGGGAATCCATGGAAGGGATTAAGCTTGAGGAAGTGTCCACCACATAGTGCACAAGTCTCCGTTTTGCTCTCTGTGATAACAGTCACTCTGTGGCTGGTCTGTGTCTGCTTTGTCAGACATCAGACTTGGTACAGTAGCTTTTTCTTTTGCATAGCTACACCATAAAGTGATGGATAATAGGTACTCTTTTTAAGCATACAAAGAGGAGACATCTCTGAGTTAAGCACATAAGATTTATGAGCTTACAGGTGCTTATAAACTGCTGTGGCATCTACAACAATTACATCTGCTGAGAGGAAACAACATGGGCAACACAGAAGGTAAGTAGGTTTATACAAAATGCCTTAAATACAGTCTTCACGCATATGAAAACATATATGTGCATCTAAAATCTCACTATATACCACATGTTTGTGTATTAGGATCCAATGTCTTGGAAAAATTGCCAGTTCTCTGAAGCCAACAATTCACTACTATTATTTCTATTCCTTCTTGCTCCGTGAATGTGTTCCAGGTTACTTCTTTCCCGTGTCTCCACTTCTGTAGCCTAGCAAGTACAAAGCCAAGAAAGAGCATGCAGTTGCATTACCTGCTTCCCCAAATCAATGTGGTTTAATTTATGTAAAAAGTAAAATTCGTGTGTTTTAAAGGCTTCATTACATCTCGTAACTGAGCTACCCTACCTAATCTGAGCTAACATAGTGTATTACAGTATATGTTTAATTCTTCGTTTTCCTCCAGTGAATAATTTCCATCATGATAACCAGCTGAAGATGAAGAGCAGACACCTCTCAGAGACTGGAAAGATCTGAAAGGTATCTGAATTCAAAAGCTAGACTGGCAAGTTCATTTACCCCCAAGTGCACAGGTTATAGCTTACTATTAAAAGTTGTAACAGATTTTTAACACACTATCCTTAATTTTAACAACCTCCTAGGAGTGGCTCAGTGGGAGAGAACTTTTTATTTCAGGCCATAAAGTTGAAGATAGTTAAGGTCTGAGCACTGCAGAGTACTGCAGCTTTTTAGGTTGCATTTAAAAGTAACTATGTTTGAGCAGATTGCAAGCACCATAAAAATTAGATAGGCCAAACAGTGAGTAAGACCATAAAGTTGATTCACTTGCAGCTGTCCAGTACAGCATAGAGAAAACCATGTATTTTATCAGATGTTGGAGTGACCCTGTGCTTGGGATGTGGTGATGACATGCAAGGTTTAAGACTGTTTATTAACAAGCAGTTGCAGTTGTTTCAGTCAAAACTATCCTGTAGGGGACTCGGGCTTCCTGAACATGATGTGTTGTGTCATGGTGATGCCAAATACATAAATACACAACCAAGGACAGGCATGAAGTCTCCTCTGTGAGTTCCACAGCCCCAAGATGGCTTTGGGGACTAACTAACTAAAGAACGCATTATGTGAGCATTTTGGAGGCAAATTCATTCAAATGGAAGTCCTGTATCATGGAAAGAATGGGAGAGAAAAAGACTGAGAATTACTCTAAACCTTTTTTATCTCTTTCCCATATTTAAGCAGAAAGAGTAAGTTCCTGTTCCCAAATGCTCCTAAGCCTTTCTCAGTTTCCAAATGACTTCTGGGTGAGTAGCTCTTCTAGTAGCTCTTGACTAGGTTTCCACACCATCTTTTTTTCCCTTCTAACACTTTCTTTGCATGAGGGATGCCAACAACCGTTCACTATTTGGAGGAAGGACCTTGTTCCCTGAAGGGGAAGCAGAGGAGAGACTTACGAAGGTGAGACTACATGAGGCTGGTACCCTCCCCAGAAACTCCCTACTGGCAAGAGGAGAAGTATGAAGCTATTTGGTTTGCAAAGAAGGATCTAGTAAAATCAAATCTTTTCAGAAATGAATGTTACAGCAGCAACATGACCACACAGATACTTGTAAACTCATACTTTTTGCTTTGATATCTGGCAATTGGGCTCTGCAGAAGAGCACCTTACCTGATTCCTGCAGGCACGTTACAAATCTAGATCTCATGCTGCTTTGAGACATGTGGAGCACCTCTCTGCATATGGAATTTTTCCTACTCTTTCTTTTCTCTCTTTTCCCTGCTCTTCCCCCTGAAGTCTCTTTGGTTCCTCTGTTTTTATTGTTTTTCATGCATTTTTTATTTTTATGGGGCTAAAACACAAATCACCCATCAAGGCTCATAATTGCTGTTACTAGTAAAATGACATCTGCACACAGGCTCTTCCCAGGCAAGGAGATCCTGCCAAGGTAACAACAGGTACCTGTACCTTTTCGAAGGCGATTACAATTTAGGGAGAGAATTAGTGTAAAAATGGTCGATTGCAATATGTTGCACACAGAATATGTTACACACAGCATATGTTGCACACAGAAAGGTGTTTTATCCTTCCAGCCAGGTTCATTCATGGAGGTTTACAAAGCAATACTTTCACACAGGATTATTTTTATGATTCATGGTTATATTTGTTCAAGAATGCAGCTTCCAACAACCATAGCAATGTATCTCCTCCTACAAGTAACTTACCCTGCTCTTTGCTACATTGAAAGGAGACATGGGCCAAATGAACATGATGGATATTTTTATCATCTCTACCTTAATTACAGCTGTTCAGTTCCGAGTTTAAAAAGGCCTTAGTCTGTTCATGCCAAAAAGTCCCAGTATGTCCTTCCCACCAGAGCTTGAGGCCTGTAGGTGTTAAAAAATAAGAGCAGGCTCCTTTCTTCTCTTCAGATGGAAAACCATTGCTGCTGTGGCTGAAACTCCTACCTACTGCCGAGGAAAGGAGAAAGACAAGCAGAGAAGAGCCATAATAGTCAAAATATAAATGCAATATTTATTCTTAAAAAGTCAGTATTGACTACATGTTGTTCTCTCCTTTCTGCAGAGGCAGTTTTAATTGGAACTGCATGTTCTTATTTCCCCAGTCGCCAAATTCTTTTTAAAAATTATTGTATTTTTCATATAGAAACCATTTCCTCATTTACTATTATTGAAATCTCTTTGATTCTCAACATCCTCAGAATTATCTTCATTTTCCATTCTGGGTCTTCCTTTTCCCTCTACTTACATCTCCTTCATTTTCATAATATCATAGATATTCAGATGGGATGGAACCTCTGAGAGTCCCTTGCACAAAGCAGGGTCAGCACTCAATTCCAACCAAGTTGCTCAGGGCTTTGTCTTGCCAAGTCTTGAAAATATCCAGGAATGGATGCTGCACAAGCTCCCTGGGCAGCATTTTTGAAAACCTTTTCAATATTGCTGGATAAATACTGCCACTGGATAAGAAGTGATTACCAGTAATATTTGATGAGGGAGAATGAGCAAGCTGTTTAAACCATGACAAGTGACAGTGTGAAGACAAAACTATGAAGATGTGAGCTCTGTTTTGAGGTACCATCTGCCCTATCCTGGGAGAATGAATCTGCATCAGCTCTCACAGGTG